CTTCTTCTTCTTCTTCTTCTTCTTCTTCTTCTTCTTCTTCTTCTTCTTCTTCTACTTCTAATTGAGTGCTTGTGGTGGTGGCGGTGGTGATGACGACACGACAACGACGACGACGACGACGATGATGATGATGATGATGATGATGATGATGATGATGATGAGGATGATGATGATGATGATGATGATGATGATGATGAACGTGTGGAACTTTCAGAGACAGCAATATCTCTCACAGAATAGGACAAATCTAATGCAGTTAAACACGGATATAACAATGTCGTCCTGCCTATCCTTCAGTTTCATCTGATCGGAGTTTTCGTTTCAGCAATGTGAGCAACAACAAATTGTGTTGTAGGGTAGAGTCCTGCATTTCGCCCCTATCAATTTAGATCATTTGGGATGCCTGTGGGGCCAACTGGGTTGAGGAAGATGCAACATCCCAGTAGTAAGCCCGAGATACTCGATAAACATTCACCCCTCTCCGGAATAGAACTCGATTCTCCTACTTGCGACAGTTGAGCGCATTACCCAGCACCACAGACGCCAGCAGTCACTTCTATGATACAGAAACAAATAATTGTGTCACGACGCTGTGGAATCAGGTCATCGTCAATATTTGTGCTTATGGAGTTATTGGTATTGTTTTAACCCTACTGAATAAAAGAAAATTTTAGAAAGATACAATACTTTAGCCACTTAAAACAACACGAGACCATTGTCTTTGTTCATCTCGCAGGGTCAAATTTGTCTTGTCGTTTACAATGGCACGGTATGTTCATCATCACCCAGTGCCAGATCTGTCACAGACATCGGCAATCATGGTTTTCTATTCATTCCCTTGCTCGGATGCTCTAAAAAAAAAGCTACGTTTCCCTGATCTTTCCCTGTTACCCATTTGTTTAGGTTCCCTAAGTATGTTACAAAAGTTAAATGCACTCCCGCATACGTACAACAAGACAGGACATTTAGTAAATACAATGTACATGTCTCACGTGCTGAAACAACCCGAAAATTCTCTCTCTCTCTCTCTCTCTCTCTCTCTCTCTCTCTCTCTCTCTCTCTCTCTCTCTCTCTCTCTCTCTCTCTCTCTCTCTCTCTCTCTCTCTCTTTCTCTCTCTCTCGTGTGTGTGTGTGTGTGTGTGTGTGTGTGTGTGTGTGTGTGTGTGTGTGTGTGTGTGTGTGTGTGTGTGTGTGTGAGTTTATGTGTGTGTGTGTGTGTGTGTGTGTGTGTGTGTGTGTGTGTGTATGTGTGTGTTTCATTTTTCTGTAGCACCATGTACTGTGTGTTCAGTAGCCTCCCTGCAGTTGATAAAAATAAATTTCTATATATGTCTGTTCTTGCTTTTTTGGAAATATATTGTTTACTGCTGGTCAATAATTGAAATTCTGATGTCAGTGGGTAGGTATGGTCACTTAGCATTATTTCCGCCTTTTTTAAAGAGCATTTGTTTTGTGCAGATATTCAAAGTTAAGGTCTCTACTAATTGTTCTAGATGCCTTTCTTATCAACTTGTTTATCTTTATGATGTGATGTCTTCCCAAATTGCTATCATATCAGGAGATACCAAGATTTATCAAAGTTTCTGTTGTGGTTGTAAAGGATATCTGAAGGATGGATGAATTCAGATTGAAGGACCTAAGTTTCCTCAGAAAGTACAGCCTCTGATTTACCGTTTAATGATATTGTTCACGTAACTTTGTTGTCGATTGAAAGACCAAAATATTTGTATAAATTCATGATTCCAATTGTTTCTTGTTCAGTTATGAGTGGTGGGATTATTGGTTTTTCTCTTCTAAAATAGAAAATCATTTCCTTTGTTTTTTAGAAGTTCACTTTTAGAAAATTTGAATTACACCATTTGCAACGAGAAAGTATAAAGGAGAGCTAGACAGATTAAAGCAGTAGTGGAGATGAATCGGATTGTGCATACCCTCATGAAATCAGTAAGTACATGACACAGAAAGTGTTAGCTTTGAATCCAAGGGCTAGGCGATCACGGGGAAGGCCCGTGGAAATTTTATAAGTCACAGAGATCAATGTACAGAAATAATGTTGAAAGACATTTGAATGGTGTGAAGAGGCTGGGCTAGGATACAGCAACATTTT